GCCATACCAAACCAAGTAATAACAAAGTAAGTCTGGGCCACAAGGCCATCAAATACAAAACAGAATGAACAATGTGTACTAGAAAGAAAGAATAGACTATAAGAGATTTTCATATATGGTGGAGAAAAATATAGCCTAATTTTTTTTGATGTACAGAATAGTCCACATACACCTTTTTTACCTCCGACCTCTTCTACCCTCCTCCAATTGTGCACAGAATGTACATCCTCCGTTTTTAGTTGTTTTTTTTTCAACGCTTGTATCAGCTCACTTTGTCTGTCTGTCTGTCTGTCTGGTAGAAATTTTGTAAACGTTATTTCTCTCACACCCATTCTCGGATCAAGTAGGAACTTTCCAAAATTATTTATTGAACCTAACTAAACATACATAAGTTACGGATAATTAATTATTTTTTTATATAAAAAGGCAATAAAGTCTATATTATTTATATATAGAGCTCTAGATGCGTAATTCTTCCCCTTGGATTATTGTTTTTTAGTTTGCACCAGTGACGTTATAGTTTGTATGAGATCCCAAAAGGGTCATATGTTTAAAAAAATATTTGCAAAAAGGGGGGGGGGATGTCTCAAGAATAAGGAAATAAGCCAATTAAGTATTGTTCAAACTTAGATTAGGCTTAGGGTTAAGGCTTACTCGGTGCTGGGTTTTCCTATGGGCAACATAAGCTATAGTTTAGTGCCCCCGTGGACTGGGGGCCATCAGAAATGGTTACGGGTAAATTTTCAGTCAATTTTGCAGAAAAAGCAAAGGAAAAATCACCGTACAATGGGCCCGTACCAACAATAGCTCTATCATAGCTATGTTCTGATTGTAATCATTTAAAACAATATATTTTTTTAGACTTATGCCTAATATAGTAACACTATTGTAGAGTCTCCATATTGTGAAACACAATTAGTAAATTGTTTTGCCCTTTAGATATTTATGAAATGAGCGGATAAAAAAAATGTATTCTTCTTATCTTATATAATACAGACGTTACTTCAAAAAAGAAGATGATTACGTCCTACGCGTCATGCATTCAGTCATGCATATTAACCAATGACTTAAATTCTGCCAAGTCATAGGTTTTCCTGTCTGGCTCAGCCAACCCATTCCATGCTCTAATAGCACTAGGGAAGAAGGAGTATTTGTACAAATTTATCCTAGCATAAGGAACGAGGAATGTGTCTTTATCTTTGTGTCTTTCTGAGTATTTTATTAGATTTTGCTTTTGTATTTGAAAATTAGTAAATAATCTGTATGTCTTGTAGAGATTTATGAAATGAATGAATAAAAAAAATGTTTTCCCCACAAGATTTAATTCAGTGGGTCTTTCCATGCATTATATACAAATTATTTAAAAAAAAAAACAGATTTAAGAGGCAGTTTGAATTTAACTATCTTGTTTTGTATAGTTTAGTTATCTTGTTCTTTTATGATTACTCTTCTTATGTTTCTCTTCAAGAATATGCTAACAAAGAAAGTTTGTACAGCATCACTCTTGACTAGTTGATCACTATCAGCTTTCGCACACACATATAAATATAACTTATTGTCAAAGTGCCACGCAACAGATCGTGGCGTAGGCAGGCTACCTTTCTTGTGTAAATGCTAAGAATAATAACGGGATTTATTCTGCTACCCTCACACCGCGAGTGCGGTGAGCTTCGTTCCTTAACTCACTGATATCACACAATTAAAAAGGCAATAAATATTCGCCCCCAAGTGCAGACGCTCGTTTCGGTCTCACATCTGCTCCGATGGTATGCATGGGCGCGTGCCGATAGTAAATCGAGCCTTCCCATTGGTCGGGACCAAGGGAACGTAATCATTGTTCCGGTGTCAGCGAAGCTTCGTCCCCAGTGACACTTGGCGTGGGGTAAGGAAGACATGGCTATAAAGCGAACCATGTATCGGAATGGACGATCAGAACTAAACATTCCGTTAGCAGAGCTTCGGAATTCAGAAACTACTCTTGTATTATTCAGAAACTGCATGTTCATTTGGTTTAAAGCCAAAAATCGGACTTCGTATTATTTAACAGTCACTGTGTTCAGCTAAGACTTGTGCTAGATTCTCTAGTTTCGTTTATTCCTAAATAACAAGGATGGATAACTCTCCCAATGTTTGTGAAGCGACTAGTCAGTCTCACGAAATAGACAACTACAGACCTACCCATAGAAAGGTAATTTTCTAGACCTCTAGATTTGTTTCTTTCCGTTAAAATAATAAGGATCACTATCTAGATCTACATAATCTAGATCTATTAGAATATAAATTATAAACTTAGTCTTAGGTCTAATTAGAATCTAATGATTAAATTTAATGATCATATTTGACATATTAAATTATGATATTTATAAAATTGAATAATTGTAGATCATAGACGACATAGATCTATGATTTGCAACATTATCATATCATTATGATTAATAACAAATAATAAAATATTTTGATATTAATAATAATTCTTAAGTCTAGTATCTATTTCTATAGTATAGTAAGTATAGATCTAGATGCTAGTTTTAGTTATTAGTTGTATGTCTAGCGAGAAATCTACTTTTGTTATAAAAGATCTAATAGAATAATTATTTATTCTGAAATTTCAAAATAAAAAAGATCTAGCCTGGACTCAAGCACTTCAGTGGTCCCTAGATTCTTTTTTCTTTTCCTGTTTATTTAATAAGTTATAAAGTTATTAATTAAAAGAAAAGAGTACTGCTGCCTGACATATAATGTACCAATGCACACAGGTTGTATTAGTTATAACATGATTCCAAATTGTAAACTAATTTACTAGTTTGAAGTTACTATTTAACCTTAATTCATACTTATTATTCATTTTTTTTTGCAGGGTAAAAAGTTACTAGCTGAAAAGAAACGAAGAGCTAGGATCAACAATTGTCTAGTTCAAATAAGAGATCTGGTTTGCGAAGGGGACAATGATAAGGTAACTACAATCTTGATAATGATTCATGGAGCTGTCAACTGTATTCTCATAATTATGAACTTTGCAACAGATCATGCATTTTAAATTTTATTTAATTTTAGGTAATCAAGTTTAAATCATAGTTTAACAATTGTATTTTAAAATCATTACAGGATACTGATCTGGACAAAATGGAAAAAGCTGAGATTTTAGAAAAGACCCTTGAAGTCTTGACCAGATTACGTCATGACTATAGCGGCTCTCACTCCTCTTCTTCTAGCACCATCTCTACTCGTAAAGCAATGGCTGTACGTTATGCATCTGGCTTCAGCTCATGTGCAGAAGAATCAATCCGTTACATCCAAAGTTCCAGACTCGTTCCTACTGAGGTGAAAGTTCAACTTCAGAATCACCTGAGAGCAATAGCAAGAAGAATGGAGACAGTCGTTCAGAATGACGACTCAAGTATTTCAACAGCTTTTCTTCCCACAGCTTGTTCCTCATCGTCATTATCCCCGATAGATAAACTTTTGAGCAGTGAAAATGTTTTATCGTCAACTCTGGACAGAATGTCAGACAATGAAAGCAGCTCAGTTCAGTCTAGAATCGTGTTTGTTCCATCACCTACCAGCTCATCCACACCAGCGCTACAGTACAACACAGCCCACAGCACCACCCCTACGTCTTCCCAGCAGCGCACCGGCTCAGTTCCCACCCATGAATCTTTCCACGTCCAAAACTCTGGGGACAGGCGTACATCTAGTAGCAGTGAGGTTGAGGGTTATTTTAAAGACTATAACTGCAGGCCAGCCACAGATCGTGCTAGCTCGACTGTTTACAGATACGAAGCCGTCACACCCGAGTTTAACCGGGAGCCTATCAGTTCCACATACACCTTTTCCTCAGAGCTCTCCTACCCTTCTCCTATATTATCGATGACAGCTTGCACCCCTACCTGTGGTTCCCCGGTAATGATGCACCCAGGATTCCTCCATGCCTCCCCTCTTATCTCCGACACTCCTGTCTACAGCTACAGGGTGTATGAACCTTACTCTTCCCTCCCTACTACTCTGATCCAGCCTGTACACTTCATGACAACGCCTATCACCAGCAGTCCAACAATTTCCACAACAGAGGTCAAACAACCGTCAACACCCAGCAGTGCTCTCAATCTTTGTGTCAAAAGTAATGAAGCCCATCAAATATCTCCCGAGACCATGTGGAGGCCATGGTAATCTAATGGATTTCTATAAATAGACTTAAATCAATGACGCTTCTAAGCTGGAATGTACGTATTCTATAACTTGACAATTGGTACATCAATTTCTTTGTTGCATAAAATGATGACTTACAAACTTTAAATGGCATTTGTTTTATATTTCATTTTGCGGAGAATGGGTAATGTTTTTCTTTATATAATTTTCTTTTTTTGTGTGTGTTTTTATTTTAATCATGTGACATTATTTATTTTAAAAGAGGGGTACGTTGGAAAAAAATGTATGTAAACCAGACATGTTAAAGTTTCCTGACCATCTGGTATTAGCTTCTGATTGTTGACATGATAGTCAGAGTTTATACTCTCATTATCTGTAAGCTTAGTTGTCACGATGCACTAGTACTTATATCCGTAACATTGCAGAAAATATATTTGTTAAGTACAATATATATTTGTACGACATTTGTTAATTTGTAAATAGAACTGTTATTTTGAACTTGGGTCCGTGAGCTTTTAGTTGACATTTAATTGGCAGCTTTTTTTTGTATTATGCATAATTATTTATTGAACTCTTTACTACATGTTTTGAATGATTCCAAAGCTTTCTGTGATAGCCTGTGACATAATGCTTTTCTTAACATAATTATAATTGACTAATAAAATGTTGCAAATGAAGTAGTGTTACATTGAGCTCTTTATACACCCTATTGGTTTAGAATTGACTAGAGCTCTAGGATTTTTTAATAGAGTTTAATCTGAGGCTATATAAACTATCAAATGTTTCTCTCCATGTAGAAACTGAATAATTCAATCAGATAGTCCCTCAATATTGCAAGTTATTTTACTCTTTCTCCATAATATGTACAATTAGTGTGCAAGGTATTGAGGTAAAAGTCTTTAACCAACATCTAATAGATACTTTTACAAGTTCTTAATGGTTCTACAAATAGCAAGAAAAAGCTCCAGGCAGTTGAATTTACCATGTAATGCTGAGCTCATCTAAGTGAAACCTTCAATAACTATTGTTCCTCTCTATGAGGTTTGGTATATGGGCCATCAATTCAATTTGGAATTAAAATGCAAATAAAATATCTCTAAGTAAAACATCCAGTCACAATGAAAGGCCAAAATCCAAGTCTAGTGTATGTGAAGATGACTAACATTTTTATTTGTTGACAAACTGGTCAATGATTCATATACAAATATATGTATCCATACAAATACAGTGTCAATAAATTATGATTGCTGTGATACACAGAAACAATCAATCAATCATACTGCTGAAACAAACAACTATACTAAACATCAAATGGATAGATTTATGAATATATATACACAGTTTAAAAACTATCCCTTTGTCCTAAATTGTCAGTGATATTTATTTCCTCCAAGAAGGTGCAGCAAACATAAGTTGGCAAAACATCTTGACAAAGTTTTACAAATCTTTGCATTCTAAAAATTGTATTCCTTGTGAAATGTACAATTTAATTGAAGAGCTTGCATGTAATTAAGGAAAGATTTTTCTCATCATTTGATCAGAGTGCAGAAATACACAATTTATGTACAAACAAATTTAATGTTGGTATACTAAGAAATGAAATGTAAAGTACATTTCACATGTTTTTGTTATTAAGAAAGACCACTGCACCATAACCAACATTTTTTTTTTAAAATCACATATTGAGGCTTCTTCAATTTAACTAATATAACAAAAGATTTGACAATTTTTCAAATTATCTTGTATAATGTATTTTAGATTGAAAAAATTTGGTTACTAATTGTCTAAATAAAAAATGTGGATATAATGAATGCCATCAAAGTCTTGAACAATACTAATGACTTACTAAATATATTCAACAATTAATGACATGATGATCCCATGCAGATTAAGAAAGACATAAAATAGAATGATATAGTTAGACCTAGCTACTAATGATGGTATTGCACATTCATTTGTTGGACTACACTACTGCAAACTAAACAGACACTAACTTGACTGCGCATGGAAAAAGTACAGAACTTTGAAATGCACTCAGTTGTAATAGCACTCATCACCATGTCTACATCCAACCCCAAATAAGGTTGTCAGATCACCTCCAAAAAGAGACTAGGGATCTGTATGCTCATAAATAGTAGGAATGGCAAGATAAATTTAAAAAAGGAAATGGTGACAAAAGTAGTGACTTGTAAAACTGAATAGTGGTTTTTAAGTAAAAGTTCCTAAAATTCAGATGTTATAAAAAAACAAACAAAAAACAGACACATTGTGAGAATCTCAATCTACTGTAGATAATAGAACGGGACAAAAATATTTCACAAGATTTATTGGTCTAAATGAAACAGAGGCCTCAATTCACTCAACATGATTTGCTTAAGCAGATTCACACACAATGCAATGTATCATAACAAACATATCTGGACACTACTCTCAATGCAAGAAATGTTCAAGCACAATTATATCTACAAACACTTTTAAAAACTCCTAAAAAAAAATATAATTAGTATTATGAATATTGATTACTACAATAAAAAGTCATCTAAATGTTGGGCACAAAACCATTTGCAAAGTGTAAGTATTAAAAACTGCTATCTTACTATCTTGTTTTATGAAAAACTAATACACTGACACTGGAAGACACTGGCAATATTACAACAAAACACTAGTCAATTTGCCAACATTAAATGTTTACTGTCATCCTAAGAATCAAATACCTTTAAAAAATTACTGTTGTTAAAGAAAGGTAGCCTACTATTACAACTCAAATTTGTTTGATCAAAACAGAACACATACTGAGGCCTTTATCCAATTAAAAAGAAACAAATGTTACCTTAAAAAAAAATCCTAATAAAACCCAGACTACAAAACTTCAGTAATTAAAAGTGGGACAAAAATAAATGAAATAATTTAAATTATACTTTCCACTACAGAGAGGGATTCTAAATTTTACAAGTATATAGAGACCAACGTACTCAGGTATAATCATGCATACAAAAGTGTAATCATACAAACACAGGTTTAATCATTATAACATATGTTTACATTTTATAAGCTGAATATGTTGAATATAACAGAAACAAATGATACATATTATAGAACGTAAACATAAAAATTGAGAAGAAAAAAAATTGCAATTCAGGCTATTGGTAAATAGCTAGGTTAACTCTTTCTCTCCGTAATTATTTACCACATTCTGGTGGAATCAACGTTGGTATCGACATTTAGGAGAGAAAGAGTTAAAACTAAAGGCATTCTCCCCTCCCTTTAGCCAACACAAGCCAGCATAGGACATGGGTTGAGCTTGATCTGTATAAGATACTCACATACAGTGACTAGTAGTTTATAATGTAACTGCACACATAAACACCTGGAGAGTCAACACTTAATTGAAACTCTGGTACTACAGTAGATAATGGACTGTCAATACGCCTTTCAGTTTAATTTCATTACAGCCCAAAATAAAAATTAATGATTAGGGTTAGGTGGTTGTATTTTTTTTCTACTAGGAACAAGCTTAGGAGATGTGGTAGTATACAAAATCTGAAACATTTTAAAAGATATTTTTGCCCCATTGGAAAACTTATGAATATATATTACACTCCAAATAATTTTGCTTTGATGGACAATACAATTTGGACTTTAAAAAAAGGAAAAAAAAAAATTCAAGCAACATTGAAAGTCACCATCATATTGGAATAAAACATATCCTTCAAAATAAAATTAATGATTCCTAATCTTTTTCCCAATATATAATGTAAAAACACCATTTGGATGTATCACTTTATAACAGAAAAGTAATGCTACAATTATTAGTCCAAAAAGATTTATCCAATAAAATAGTGCACAGTAAGAAAGACAGGCACAATGAACAAAAAAATCAGTTCATTTATTAAAAAATTTATTGAATACATGGCTCTCAGTGACAATGTTTTTCTACAGGCACACACACAGGAGTTGATTAAAAAACATACGAGCCAGGGGACACAACTTTGTTGAACAGTTGTCTAGTTATCAGGCCCAAACTCACTTTTGTCCCAAATTTGTCTTTATTTTTTTAGGTTGAAAATCCAGCCTTCTTAATGTATACAGAATATTAAGATCCATATCTGGAATATATGTTAAAAGCTATAACTCATTATGGAGTAATATGATAATGGACGAGCATATATATTATGTTGGTGTTTCCCAAACAGTGTTCCATGGAACATACAAGGCCTGAATTGGTGTTCCACAAATTACTGGAATAATTAACTATTAGGCTACCACATGAATTAATCTCTCTAAAAAAAATAAAAAGTGTTCCATTAAATACTCATAAATTGCAATGTGTTCCATGAATGAAAAAGTTTGGGAAACACTGTGTTATGCAATAAAACAAAACAAAATGTATGCAAATAAAACCAATACAACTTTGCATAAATTATTTTGAATGATGCTCAGAAATATTTCTCTGTCAAACAATCATACAAAGCAAAACATAAAAACAGTCTCACAATCATTAATAAAACACCTTTTTTTTTTTTTTTACATTAAAATAATGAAAACATTTCCAGGAAGTAGAAGGGTTGTTTCTTGACTTGTATTCACATTATCAAAATTTAACCTCTTTTATCAAGCCGCCATATTACAAGCTTGTCATTTTTTCTGAAATTATGTTTCTAGTTAATATGACGACTACATTGATTCATGAACAGGCCAGAGCAGTTGGAAACAGGCGCGCAGTTATTGCACATTAAAATGTAAGTCGGTCAAAAAAGTCACTACAGAGTATAATAAATAAATATAAAAACCCAAAACATTTAATCTTAGTTCCACACATACCTTTTCTAAACAACTTTGTCACTTTAAACTGAAAGTGAAAAAGAAATGTGTTTCTAGATTGCAAAATATAAAACTGGCCATAGAGGGGAAGAAAAAAACTAAATAGACATAAACAAATTTGACTTTTAAAACCTTAAAAAACTTGTACATATAAAATCTCTTAAACAATCAAGGGGAGGTAAGGTGATATGTACATAAATACAATTATATACAGACAGCAAAAACAGCAGCCTAAAGCTAGTTATGACTGGATAGCAATAGAGAAGGTTTTGAACTAAATTTGTCAATGAGGCTTCACATGTTTATGTCTCAATGCTTTCATTGCCACTGTAGCCATCAATAACATTATCGCTGCTACTTCGGTTGCCGATTATGTTGTTTTTCTCTTCCTCCACAGATATGTAACTTTTGCCAAATGTCACATCTCCGGCAGCAGCGTCACTGTCAAAATTAATGCTGACTACTTGACCTGGTTGTGAGAGGATGGTGTTGACAGCACTAGTGTCCTCTTGCGCAAGGGGACCTTGACTGGAAGATGATATATCAATGTTGTTATGGATGTCTACAGGGTTTTGCCATGGGTAAAGAGATGTGGCACTGGTTGTGTCGCTGTCATCATCACCAGTGGTCATCGTCTCCATCCGTGAAAGTTGGTTATCTATAGTTGACAGCCCAGGTAATGTCACCTCGCCTAGGCCCAGCAGGGACTATAAAATATAAGAGAAGTTAATTAATTAGAGTTGGCTTAAATAAAACAAAAAAGTTATTGCACATTGTATGGTGGGATACACATTAACATATAAAACAAAAAATATAATTAACATCAGCATTTGGAAATGTTAAAGATTTGTATGTGATTAAATTTAAACTCCATGTGTTTAATATTACAACTATAAACGTTGTACAAGAAGAAAATAAATCATGTTGTCATCTTAAATGCAAATCAAACTATTGTTTAGGTTTAATTTTAAATAGTACAAGTTGTAGAAATAATAAGTCGATTAACTATGTAGCACCAAAACAAAAAAACGAAAGCCATTTTCTTTTTTAAAAAAACAAATGACTAAAATTTTATTTTTTTAGCCATGAAAAAACCACCATCAAAAGTTGCAGCCATTTTCAACTTGAAATAAACAAATTTACTGCTGCGTGTTGTCTTGTACATTTTCTTGACAACTTTTCTTCACAAAAAGCAAATGGAACCAAAGAAAAACAAAATGAGGTCATGCTACGTCATGCCCAATGCTTTGTGTGTGTGTGTGTATGCATAAACTTACTGCCATATTCTCCATAGGGTCTGTAAGATTATAATTGTATATTTTAATCAACATTTTAAAATAAATATACACTCTATGAAATAAATACTAGCAACACTTTTGCCCAACCTCTGATGCAATATACTGCGTCTCTATATGCCCTGACATAACACATGCAGCAAGGTTATTATTTGGTGATGTTATACAAAGCTTTGATCATCACTTACAATATGTACAGTAAAAAGGTAAGAACTCAAAAACAAAAGGTCACAAACTATTATTTTATTTAATATGTAAAAATAATGTCCCCTGATCTAGAGGGCTGGTAAAGTTTTTTGGTTTGCACATGATAGTGGCTAGTCTTAAGATCTGATATTAATATAGATAAAAGTCATGATTAATGTCACTATTTGTCACTGACAGTATGGTGCCTCTAACCAATATACTAGATCCTTTTACCCAAGTGCTACTAAAATCCAAAATCAGAGAGAAAAAAAAAGATTATTTCTGATTGGTAATTCCGTCACATTTGAAGAACATGCAAATAAGACAATGATAAAATTAAAGAGATCCAGGAAGTAATTGAACTGTTGGACTAGCTATTTATACAAGTAATATAACCTAGATTAAAGCCAGCTAAATCGGGGGCTCAAGCTCATGTCCTGAATTTAATAGACTTTCCATGGCCATGATTTGATGTCAAAGCCAT